ATATATATTTCTATCTCGTTTACTCTGTAGATCAGTAGTCTTATTTGGAAACGTAAGAGTTCTTTAATTCGAGGGAGGAGTGAGTGAGTGAGTGAGTGAGTGAGTGAGTGAGTGAGTGGTTCTCGATGAAGGAGGAGGAGCTTGGCTCATGGATAAGCTTAGAAAAATATTGGACCAAAGTGTTTTCACTTCCGGGCTTGGTTCTTGCTTTTCCTCTTCTTTCTCGTATCTCGAAATGAAAAGTGCAGGCAAGAAGGCAAGCAGGCGGCTCTAAAACTTACGTGGGTATCAGCCGGCGTTCGCCGTTACACCGCTTCGTGTCGTCTTTTGAATGGAATTATTTTTAGAGTCGAGAGTCTACTATATGCGGATAACCACGTACGTATCGTGGCGCACGTTCGCCCTCTTCTCCGTAACGCGTACGATAGAGAAGAAGAAGAAGGATGGAGAGAGAGTGAGAGAGTGAGAGAGAGAGTGTGTGAGAGTAGTGGGGTAAGAGAAGTTCTTCGATAAACCTCGTCGACCTTATGTTTCAGCCACCTGACGCGAACCACGACATGGGAAGATCCGCGAAAAACTGTCGCAGCTCAGAACGTTGCTCAAGTCGCCGCTCAGGTGGAAAGCGGAAAGTCTGCTGCTGCCGGGAACACTTTAGGTCCATTACCAGATGGATGGGAACAAGCACGAACACCAGAGGGAGAGATTTATTTTATAAATCATCAGACGCGTACAACATCATGGTTCGATCCCAGAATTCGTGAGTATTTTCAATTTGTCATATATATATATATATGTTTGCTTTTCTATTGATCCTCGAGTACTCCTAGCTAAACTGTGTTTTCATCTTTCAGCGACACATCTTCAACGAGCCCCGTCTTCCGGTGCTATGCTGCCACAAAATTGGCTACAGCAACCAACGGCTGCTGGTATACCTAACAATCAATCACTGCAAGCTTGTCAACAGAAACTACGTCTTCAATCGTTACAAATGGAACGCGAGCGTCTGAAGCAACGGCAACAGGAGATCATACGCCAGGTTGAATTCCTTTGAATAATTTTTGTTCAATTGATCAAAGTAACGTCTAAAGTATAGTATAACTCATATACTAAACTCTTTGCTACTTATATATAATTTAGCAAGAATTGATGCTCCGACAAACTACCACGGATGCTGCCATGGATCCATTTTTATCAGGAATTAGCGAACAACACGCGCGTCAAGAAAGTGCAGATAGCGGTTTGGGTCTTGGCTCTGCCTATTCCTTACCGCATACGCCAGAAGATTTTCTAGCGAATATCGACGATAACATGGACGGCACCAGCGGTAAGCTGTTAGTCCATTATGAAAATCGTTGGAAGGTCGATTTTGCAGTATTCGATGCATATTTCGTAGATGGTGGTGCTCCCATGGAGACTCCCGATCTCTCAACACTGAGCGATAATATCGATTCGACGGACGATCTTGTACCATCGCTACAGGTAGGTAGCCGTAATATCTGTAACAAACATTATTAACTATTACTTTATTTAAGTTTATACATAATAATAATCAGGTATATTATTTATATTACAGCTTAGCGAAGACTTCAGTAGCGATATTCTCGAGGATGTACAGTGTTTCATAAGTCCTAATACGATAAAACCAGGAAACGTGCTCACATGGCTCTAAGTATGGACAGACGCGGAATTAGTTCGTATAATACCGTAGGTACTATGCTCCTTCTAATTACGACGAACGGACGATATTCAAATTTATCTTCCAGCAACGGCTGTCTCCTCGCCCGTTCGTCCAAATTCGAGTAGAGCAAGGAATATCTAATATGAACTCGTGCCGCGCGTTAAGCTTATCTTCTTCTTGTCCTCCATTTAATGGGACCGTACCGAGACTTTATTTGTTATCAATTCACACACGGAAGAAAATAATGTATCGGGAGATTTTCTCGTTCCGAAGGAAGAAAGGATGCGTCACTTAGAAGAAGAGTAACGAGAGAATCTCACGGTTCTCGTAATCTCCCCACGGTCGTTAAAGACAAATGGAAACTCGACATGGAAATACGTGAGGAGCGCAAAACTCAGAAAGCGCCTAGCAACGAAAACGTGATGATAGGACCAACGACAAGACTCCAAACGCGACACCAACGAAAATAATCATCGCTGTTAAGAACGGCTGCTGTTCTTCTTCTTCGACGATATGGCGCCAAATGCGCGTTACATACACCTCTTTATACTATTATACTTGCGTAACACTCGAAGAGTCGTGCCTTCCCACTCGTTCTTTCTAAATCAATCACATATATATATATATATATACTCACATATCCATTGAAAACTATGAAGAAAGTTATTTTTTGTTTCCTTTTTTTTTTCTTTTATATTTTTTTTTTTGTTATTTCTCTTTCAACAGATATGCGTCCCATTCGCCATCGATAACGCACAATTTATTATTCGCGACCGCTTAATGATTTTTTTCTTTATTTTTTTTTTTCTATCTGAATTTTTTTTCTTAATGTTATTCCAAAATGTGCTACACGCGAAAGAACGAAGGCACATCTTTTTGATGCGTTTACAATCCATACGTAAGAACGACAAAGATCTTTGGACTATAATTTTGACAACGAAAAAGAAGTTTTCAATTGAAAGAAGTAAGTATATATCGAATATGTTTAGTTGTTCTCTAAATACGAACGTTATAGTCCGTGTTTTACGAGTAAAATACAACGAAAGCAAAGTTATATCGTTAACGGGGATTCGTTTTGAATCGTAGTCCAAAGTAGGTATATATATATATATATATAATAATAATAATAATAATAATAATTCAATTTCGATCATACTCGGAGTATATTTTATGAGCGATTATATGCTAACCGAAGTGCCTTATCTCTGCAATCTATTTTCGTCGGCGATCCTCGGTCGTCGCTTTTCAAAGCAATAACCGTCCATATACGAAACCTTGATGTGAACATGTGGTAATTGTTAAAATAAGTAATATGTTTGAAACCCTCGTAATGTTTTACTGAAAAAGGGTTACACAGGAAATGAATATATATTTTTTTATATATATAAAGTCTATACTTGTTACAAATTGCAGTTATATTGGTATTTTCAAAAAAAAAGAAAAAAAAAAAAGAAAATCATGTTAGATCGTATTAAAAAAAAAAAAAAGGTCTCTTACGTTTTATACTATTACGCGATTATATAATGGAGAGATTACAAAAGATGAAAGTATAATCATATATTTATAGATTCTATGAAATAATTTAGCGAATAAGAATTTTAACTCGTCTTATATTTCTTCTTATTTTCTTTTTTCTTTTTTTTTTTTTTCGGGGTGTGATGAGAAATAAATAACAGGTGTATTTGAGGTGGGGAGAATTACCGTTTAACAAGGGTGGTACTTTCTGTTTTCTCTAAAGGAAAGAAACAAACAAACAAACAAACAAACAAACAAAACAAAACAAAAAACAAAATCTAACGACGTAGCAGAGTTATTACCGATAATCAAAGTGACTTTTGGTAAAGAAGATAACTCCCGTATAGATATATAATTAGTTATGTGGCAGCTTAGAGTATACAACTATAAAACGATGAATGACGTGGCCACTTGGCATCGCCTAACGCATCATCATTTTTCTGTTTTTCGATCGTTGACGCGGATGACTCTTCTTCTTCTTCTTCTTCTTCTTCTTCTTACTCGAACTCATATCCGTGAGAAAACTTGATTTAAGAGTGCGTCATCGTGGCCAAGTTGAATCATCGAAAATAGATCGTCGTGTACTAGATATATCAATTACGTATATATATCTATATATATGTGTATATATATATATGAACACAATTGATATATATATACATAGTACATTATATATTGTACAATGTTTGTTTTCTGCGCAAAGACGATCAAGCTCTCCCATCTTTTCTCGTATTTCATGAAAAGTTTACGGAGATGCATGCGTTACGTTATTATATTCATTTCGTTATTCGTAAAACTCAGAAGACATTTTTGACATATTATTTTTTAATAAAATATCAAATCAGAGCCTTTGCGAATATCGAATGTTCGAATCAACTTCTATGAGATAGAAAAAAACAAACAAACAAACAAACAAATGTTTATTATACATAGTATTCATGTTTATACTTGACATTATTCTGTTCTATCAGATAAAAATACTATTCTAGAAAATGAAATTGCGGACTAGCTTGTAAGCTTATCAAAATGAAACGAAACAAAACGAAACAAAACAAAAAAAAAACACACAAAAAAAAACTACTGCTATTTACGGCATTAATAATTGTAATTACTTTTTTTTATTTGATTTGATTTGATTTTAAACAAATGTTTTTTTTTTGGTTTTCTTTTATACTTTTAGTTTTTATGTATACAACTATTTTCTTCTTTTTTCTATAATTTTATGAAAACAATCCAACCACTTGTTCTAAAAAAAAAAAAAGAGAAAACAGAGACGAACGATAAATATATAACGATTCGTATTTAGTACCTCAATGTGTTATTCACCTAATCGAAAATCAATTTCTTTTTCTATCAATTTACAAATTTTCAAACTAATACATATATATATATGTATACATATACATGCAGAATATATTTATACATCCGTTGACATTGTTAAACTCACAGTTAAAAGAAATATATATATATATATATGTATGTTAAATAACAAATAACGATGAGAGAGGTACAAATATCGAGTCGAGATCAATATTTTTGATTATTGATAAAAGTATGTGAACTATTATAATAATATCTTTTTCGAAATCCTGTTGTAATTTACGGAGATAATGGCTGATAGAAGATAGTCATCATCTCGTTGCTAGTTATATTGCGGCGATAAGTTAATTATATATATATATATATGTGTATTTCTCTTGAATACGCCTATTGATAATTCTAATTACATAGTTTTTTTTTTTTTTTTTCTTATCGTTGTAAGTCGAATATGCAATAACTTTTCAGGTAAGTGAAAAAATAAGTTCGTCGAGACAGATCGAAAGGCAATGTTGTTAAACGACGATCCGCGAGCGACCAGAGGGGATAGAGAAGTGTTTGTTTTTTTTTTTTTTAAATCAATCAATAACGATTTATATATCTTTTTAATCGTCCATAATTATATTTTGAATCATGATGCGTCGAACGAGTTTTTTGATAGAGAAAATAATTGTAATAAGAATTTGTCAAAGAATGAATAATAAACAGGAGTAGTTACGTGTTCATTCTAATAATTTGTTCGCACACGGGTCGACGTTCATTCGAGAGCCTGGTTTTATAATGTATTATTTTAATTATGAATTAACGTTAATCTTAATTTTTACTATAGTGTAACTTGCTTTTAATCTAAACTGAACTTTATTTACGTTAGAGATGATGAACATCCGTAATAACGGATTTATGTTCGCGAAGTTAAAGAGAAAACACAAAAAAAGTGTTAGACAAGAAATTATGTAAGGTGATAAGACGGTACATTAAGAGACTTTTCTCTTTCTTTCTTTCTATCTTTCTTTCTCTCTCTCTCTCTCTCTTTCTTTCTTTCTTCTTTTTTTCTTAGATGGTGAATGCGCATCCATAATGTACGTATATATATGTATATATATGTTCGCTTTAATGCACATATGTCTATATATGTATACATACATACATATGAATATATATATATATATATATATATTCATCTAACGTAAGAATTATGTTTAAAAGAAGCAATTAGAAGTGTAATATCAGTATTTAAATATGCTCATTGGCGGTCATTTGTCGCGTACGTTTTTATATTGGTAACAAGTGCCTTAGAAATAACGATAATAATAAATACGTTGTTTACTTACATACAAACGGGGGGTGAACGAATATTTTTTATTTCTAATACCTTTCCCAATTCAATCCTTCGACTACGAAATACTCCAAAGGGTAACTATAGTTCATTGTAAAATATAGAAAAGAATGAGACTACATGGGTTAAATTAACCTGTAATGAAAGTAGATTTTATTACCATATTAAAAATCTTGTTAATTGATTGAAAAAAATGTGTATTGTTACCTGAGAACACCACGTATATTATTAGAGTACCATCTTCTTCGAGATTCACCTTCAGACTGACACGTGGTCTTCAATGAAAGTTCTTATATTAAATGTTGTTTATATGACTTTTTGAATGTTGCACATGCGTGCAACGTGAAAGAATTGACCTAATTAATAGAATTTAAGATTAAAATGTTTTAATTTGAGTATTTGTTTCATTCTAACGTAATTATTTTACTGCTCATGCTCAGTGATGATTTCGAGGATAAAAATTTCTTAAAATTTAAGTAGTGTGCATTAAGTTATTAAAATTATTGTTAATTAATCGAAAGGAATGTGTATTGTTACCTGAGAACATCAAGTATATGATCGGAGTATCGTTCTCTTCGAGATTCACCTTCAGACTGACACGTTATCCTCTATGAAAGTTCTTATATTGAATGTTGTTTATATGACTTTCCGAATGTTGCACATGCGTGATACGGTAATAAGATTCCTAATAAAGAGAATTTTTTGATTAAAACGTCCCAATTTGAATATCTTTTTCATTCTAACGTAATTATTTTATCGCTCCTGCTCAGTGATGATTTCGAGGATAAAAAATTTCGTGCAATGTAAGTAGAGTGCATTAGAGTATTAAAATAATTGTTAATTAATCGAAGGGACTATGTATAGTTGTTTCAAAACACTGAGTATATGATCGGAGTACCGTCCTCTTCGAGATTCACCTTCAGACTGGCAAGTGGTCTTCAATGAAAATGTTTATATTAAATATTGTTTATATGACTTCTTGAATGTTGCACATGCGTGAAACGGTAATAAGATTCCTAATAAAGAGAATTTTTTGATTAAAACGTCCCAATTTGAATATCTTTTTCATTCTAACGTAATTATTTTACCGTTCT